CTAGCCCTGAACAATGATCCCAACTCTAACCCTAACCCTAACACTAATACCAACCCTAACCCTAACCCTAGCTCTAAACACCAAACCCCTCACGTATGCTCAAGGATTTGGCTCAACACCGGCCGCTTGGGCCTGACCCTCGTGCCTACAGGACTCAGGCCCTTCAAAACAGGTGTTCACACAGGTGTGAAAATAACACAAAAACTTTTCTTAGAGGACGGAGCAGCGAAACAAAGGCAATACTGGTTGTATATTTGCAGTTAACATGAAAACACAGTGCCGATGTACCACTGCACCTGGTCTGACCAGGCTGTTCTCACTCTCACCGTGTCAGGCCTCGGACAGCCCTCATTCAAGACCATAATCGCGACCATGGCCCGTGAAAATACCGGGATATTGTCGGCCACCACAGCTGGCACCTGGGTCACAACTACGTAGCACTAGCTAGAAGGTCCATGTAACCCTGCAGTGGTACTGTTTATAGACCCTACTTCCGTTTGTATTTACTCACAGAGTAAGTCTTCATTTTCCAACAGTATGAGGTTGACGGCCTGCTCATTCTTGTCGGGATGTTCAGAGAGTGGCCATTGAAACAGCGATGAAAAGGCAATAGGCTGTTGCGGAGATCATTGAGACACTATATGACTGAAACGAGATGCTGGGCTCACCCTCAAAAGTGTCCACGTGTTCCACGTGAATCGTCAGTCGCTCTGCTAGCATGCTTAGAATCCGTTAGCCCTAAGCACGAGTCGTTGATGGCACGGACAAGGGCAATGTCTAGGACGTGGTCTTCTTAAGCCTTTCAACGCTACAATAAGAATTCCAACTGCAAGTGTTTCAGACGGGCCACCACCACGCTCGTGCAACCATCAAATACATTCATCAAAATATTTGCCATTGCTCTGCATTTGAACTCCAGTCATAATGAGCGGCAAGCCATAATATTTGCCATCGCTCAGCTAATTGGTCCACGCAGCATTTGTTCAACCCTTGTGATGAACAATTAGTTAAGGAAGTAATGAATATGTTCTGTATCTTCAAAGACAACGGGGACACTTATTTTCATCCACTTTCACAGCCCTCAATGCTTTCTAGTATACCCCTACATAGCAACTTTTCCGTATGCCCCGCTTATGTCCTGTTGACCTTATTCTTGTCTTGCAACACTATTAGATGCAATGAATGAATGAATTGTTCAGAAAAACAATATTTGCCGTCGCAATCTTGTGTAATTGGTCAAGACCAAATAAACATCGCACTGGCCCCTATTGCAACGTGTATAGCAAATATTGCAAGTATAATGAACGTGTTTTTTCACCTTGATCTACAAGAAGACTCTGACACTGCCTTAGAAAAAGGACGTGTGTCTCAGTAGTGCCACCTGCAAAGCCAGTTAAGTACAATGCTCTGAACAAACAAATGCCCGAAACGTTGAACGAAATACACCTGTGGACTGGCAGGATGAGTAAGGCTTTAGGCATGTGGTTAGTATGGTCTAGCGATTAGTACTCCTTCCTACTAATCAGAAGCTGGCTCAAGATGTTGAATCACAGATATTGGTGCGCTCGTGCTTTGTATGTCATTGAGCATGGTTGCAGTACTGAATTGATCGTCGTACTTTTATTTGCTACGTACACAATCACAACGACACAATCAAGTTTTTAAACTTATTTTATGCCGCCTCCATCGCAGACAAACGCACGAACGAACAACAGACATACTCATTTTCACCTTAGTAAAGTCAGAGATCGGAGGCATGGCAGGATTCGAACTCAGGACCTCTTGGCTCCGAACGCTCTGTCGTTACGCCACACGACCCCAAACTTTCATAGGGTTGCTGCGACATAAGATCGACCCAACTTCCAGACGACAGTCTAAGTAGGTCATAGAGCGAATCCTCTTATCTCAAAATCTCAGTTCTCACTTTTGGACAACATCGCAGTTAGGTCTCCGCACTGACACTCACAAAGCAATCGGGCCGGCATATCTGACGAGTTATTGTCCGCGTCTGGCGGTGCAAAAAGATGGCAGGTAACATTAAGCAGTCGCAGGTGACGATCTCCAATAGGAATGTATAACTAATGGCGTTGTCACCTCTTTTCAAAACCAACCGTTCCGACCGATAGATGAAGAAAACGACCGTTAATGTGTAACGTCGGTTCTCGATGAATGACCCCCGTATAAAGTGTAGACCACGCGCGCCTGTATTTGTTTATTTTGATGTAAAATTAATAGGGGCAGGACGTGGCGCTCTCTTCTTACCAGATCAGCTTACTGACCAGGTATGTCGGTGACAGGGCCACCTGAAAGACTTCCAGCTAAGACGTGAGGAACAAGGGGCACCAACGACAGGTCGGACAATCCGATGCACGAAACCCAATCGGCGGGAAACATTGCTGTAAATGAATGAGGTGGCCGGTAGACATTAAAGTTGTGACTGGCCGACAAAAGCGTCCATTGTGGATATGTTGTGATGCAGTGGTCGTTTATCATTTTAACACCAATTCTGTCACCGCGGGAATTCTGTAGCCGACGCCGAGGTCCATTTCTCAATCACCTACCTGCCAAAAAATGACGGTACTACTAATGGCATAAGTATGCAGCAAAGTATGGTTTGTATGCCACTATTTAAGTTGACAACTTACGGGTTAGCTTACTTGTTCCATATGAGGATAGTTAAGGGGCATCTCTATCTTCAATGCGTCTTAAATGTTCAACTTGTTAAAAGGGTTCTTAGATTTACTCTTGCTCGTTACCGATTATTGGTGAAACTTATAGGGAATTGGTGAAACTTATAGGGATCCATCGCCTACCTTAAACGTAGAGTCTATAAAGTCAAGAACGTACTTAATAGACTCAATAGGAAATACACCCACCTTTCTCATCATGATCAGTACAGCGTTTAAAAGCATTTAATTTTACGAAAATATTCCCCTCAACAAGGTCTTAAGTCTTTATAAACTACACAATACTTTACCTCTTTTATCACCACTAATGACAGAACACATGCAATCAACATCGTTTTCCCTTTTCCAGTCTTTCTAGTTCCATAACGGTAAATAACATGGGTAAGGATGTAAATATTTCCATCTTCCTCTCATACAATTTTTCCCTGTTGTGACCCAAACAACCACACAGAACGGTTTCCCTTACATCGCTCCATCCGTATGTCTATTTCTTCCGTAACTTCTGGGGCATATACCTGCCATTCGACAGGTTAAATGGATAGCACTGTTAACACATAAATCATTTCCTCAATCAAATCGTCACTCGTCACTTCTCAGTGCCTAAAACGTTTTGCATGTCCGACAATATGTGCCTGGGTCATCTCCGTCTTACAATATGTAGTATTGACAACACAGTGCTTATTGTGTGGGTCTTTTTCATCGCGTTATATAGGTGATATTGACAGTTGGGTCAGGCGACGGCCCCCCATGGTGTTATTGGGTACTTGGGCAGTGATGACATCATTCACGGTTGAAAGACATTGATTTAGATGAAGAGAGATAAAAACAACATGTACGTCTAGTTTTACCTGTCTATTGACGGAAACGTGCCCCTTACATTGATCGGAGAGTGATAAGAAGGTAGAATGAGGTCGGGGTGTGTCATTCTGACGACTGGGTCAAACAGCAAGGCCTTTGCCGTTTGTGAACGTGGTGCCAGTTGAGTTGTCCGATTCCCGTGCTATATTTCGCTCTATTCAAGTCCGTCAAGTCAAGTCCGATAAGAAAAAAAGCTCAAAACGAGCAACAGTTCACACAAACTCAGCTAGAACCATGCTTCTGCTGGGAGATTTGCGCAAGTCGTGTTTTTGTGTGAAGTGTTTGATAAGGGATTCCGTCAAACAGTAATCTGTTAGTTCAGACAGTTTATACACCTGTGACTGCCAGTGTTGGCAGCTTACTCACCTTGTCCTCACAGGGACAGCATTTCAACACTGTTTAGTTCTGAGGACCAGTTTAGTGTGGAGTAGCCTGTTTTCTAGGGACTTTACAATCCCGTACGCCCCAGTTGGTTGGGTTATACTGACCTATAGATCTGATATCATGGATAAGAACATCAGGATCAGTAGACCGATCCTATAGTCCTGCCTGCATGTATGTCCGTCAAATATACAGATTCAGAGTATCATCTCTCGTACTTTTCGCGCTTCTTTTAATACTTGACACCCGGGTCAGTATATACATTCAGCAGAAAATACATAAAAGAGACGTAAGATCTGCCCCCCCTGGATATAAAGATCAGCATATAAAGAGCATTTTCAAACTTTGCTAAGTGCGCCTCTACGCGGGCCGAGAAGGCATGACAGCTATAAGTGCTGTGTTTGTCCTTCCTCTTTTTTTGCACCCCCACGTGAGGTGTGAATGGAACCAACTAAATACTGTATGAGCTAATCAGTAAACTGCTGTTACGTAATTACTCAATATGTTCGCTGGTTGAAGGGTTATGTGTGCTAGATTTACTAGACTAGTGTAGGCGACTTTTTGTGGCACATGACAAACATTACTAGTTCGGGTGTAAAATACTGCTGGCTCGACAAACAATTAAATACAAGTTTATCAGATGGACGATAACACTACCAAGAGTTCGATGTACACATGTTTTCGAGCACGCCCATATAAATGCCCGTGTGAAAATTAATTGTTCGGCTAGTCCGCGCAGAAAGGAGTGGCCGTAATTCAATTTACTCTGGGTTTCACGGCTCTTCCTAGACAATGAACAACTAGAAATATTAACGTATCAAATCGTTACATTTACACAGACGTGCATATGTGTATTTATAGTAGTTACCAGACGTCGTTGTTTTAAGGTATGATAGACCAAAATGCCGAAGATAATCTAAAGGTTGGGCTGGGAATCAAAACACCTGGCTTCCGTTTTATGCCAGCATACCGTCTCAAAGCTTCTTTTTCCTATCTTAAACAAAGATAAGCACAACACTCTGCCGTGTGGACGCCATGGCCTGTCGACGAAAACATTCGTTCAGAGACGGTCCCTAAGATTTGATTTGCCTGAGTGTGTTATGTCTAGTACACAAGTCTTAGGCATCGCTGGTAACATTTTGTGATCTTCAGTTGTCCTGCCAAGTTGTTCAGGTACGTTGGTTACACTAGCTATTTACAAGGTACGTCAAATGCTTGATGACTCTGTCTTGTTTGAAGTGCTTGTTAAAATGTCTCTTTGCGTAGTAACACGCGAAGGTCACTCTAACATGTAAATAACATTGTATTCCTTCCCTTTACTTCGTTTGTTTTACTAGATTCATACAATAGGCCACGATTACTTGTGTTTCTGAAAAACGTCGTGTACGTCTGAGCTTAGAGTCATATATAGCCTTAGACGAGAACATCTTCATCTTTGCACACATAACGAGAGCAAACAATGATACAAACAACAGTAGTGTCAATCATATACAGCTGCTAGTACAATGCAGATACGCCTACTAACCAGCTGCATGCTTACTCATAGCAACTAATGTATAATCTGATTAGGTTACCTCCTAACAATACAATGCAAATCAGATTAACGAAACCAATTATCTCTTACAGGAGAGCAAATTTCAGGATCAGAGTTGCTCAGTTCAAGAAGGGTCATGAGGGTACACAAGAGGAAACTCCTGCCGTTGGTTCTGACACTGGCGATCATTGTTTACTACAAACCACTTTTCAGTTTAAGATTGACGTTTGGGACTTCAAATAAAACAATCCAGCAGCCTGGTTGGCTAGACCCAACGAGCAGAAATGATGTCATCAATACGACAGTGAGCGGAGATTTCATTCTATCCAATGAAAATGGGATGGAATTGACACCGACCAATGAAAGGAAGCCTTCCGGCCGTGCCACAGCCTTTATATTTTCTCAGATGAGAAGCGGTTCCTCATTCGTTGGAGAGATCTTCAACCAACATCCGGAGTCTTTCTACCTGTTTGAGCCTCTATGGGCTGCACAGTTCTATGACAATGGGACACACAACGTTCCAAAATGGTACTTAAAACTACTCGAAGGAGTAGCCGATTGTCAATTCGAGGGCTTAGAAGACATACTGGAATACTTTATATCGACTAAGCACTTCGGTGGTTTTCGAAAAAGCACATCGTTGCGAAAACTGTGTGAGAACTATGATCCAAAGCGAGAGTTTTTATCTGTACGTGACAAAGATTTAGTCAATTCTGAAAAGTGTCCGATTCCAAAACAAGCAATGGTCCCTGTTTTAAACAAGGCGTGCGCAATGTCGAAACTCAACGTCGCGAAGATTATTCGTATCAAGGACATCAATATCTTTCAGCAAATCGTGGCAAATAGTTCGCTGGTCGGCCGGGAAGTCAAAATCATCCATCTTGTCCGGGATCCTCGCGCGGTGATCGCCTCTCGGATCAGAGTGTCCAACCTACACGAGCCTGCTCCGTTTACAGATGAGTTTGTAGAGGAAAAAGACGTAGATGTTCTCTGTAAGCAGATGGAGCAAAACGTACAAACCCAAGATGGCGTCCCAGACTGGCTACTCGGCCACTATGCCCTAATAAGGTATGAAGACGTTGCCATGGCACCGGCCGCCATGACAGAGAAACTGTATGGTTTTCTCGGTACCGAAAGTGACGACGCGGTCTTTGATTGGCTAGCGGAAAACACAAACGCCACGGAGCCCAGTAAAAACGTGTTTTCACGGAAGAGGAACTCCAGGGACACTGTTGACGCCTGGAGACGTAAGCTGAGTCTGTCCGCCGTGCTGAAGATTCAGGACATTTGTCGGGACGCGCTGGAGATGTTCGGGTACAGAACCGTGCAAGGAGAGGCGGAACTAACCAACCTGAGTCTGTCTCTAGTGGGAGACATGGACAAGAACCTGGTGCAGATCTCGTGAGATGGAGAGTAACATCCATGAGCTAGTAACTCTGATAGAATAGCCCGAGAGGAACCCACAGACTTCCCAATCTACACGTACTGTTATAGTACATGTTCGAACTGCCCTTACAAAATACATATCATGCAGTCTGTCAACAAATCTCATGAATGTGTTGGTGTCCCCAGAAGGGGTGGGAATTTCCTACTATGGGAAGTTCAACATGGCTGTATCTTTGAAGAAATATCTTGCACTTAAAGAGAGCAAGGCATCTACAGAGCTCATAGATTTTACTCATGGCATAACCCCCACTTCCCATTTCAGTTTTCAAGTAATCTGCAGTTTACATGGAGACGCTGGAGTGTTTGCCGTCTTTCTGAGAGATAATCATTCAAGGTCGTGTTTTCGAGAGTGACTGCCATAGATTGGGACGCATGTGTTAAAGGAAATTTTGATATTTGTACGCCTTAGTTTGTGACTTCATACACTGTTGCTCCATCCACGTTTCATCCAGCTATTCATCTCATTTTTTTAGAAAGCTTACAGCACAGTATCCTACTATGAAGTGAGAAATGTATTAAATTTACACGTGGATGTGTTATAGAACGTTCTCACAAAAGGGCAATAAACTACATACGTATAACTTTGAAATGTGTGGTCTTTATTCGTCTTTCTTTTTCTCTAGATCTGTATGATAAGGCAATTTGATCATTGACAACCCCGCATCTACATGTAGCTCCGCGGGCTTGAATATACAATAAAACTTATTAATAAAGATTCAATTGATATACATAATTATACAGGTATATATGCATCATATCTTAATAGGTTTGATTTTATCTTGGATTTTAGAGAACCTTTAAGGTTAAGAATGAGAAGTGACAAAAGCATTCTGGTTACAAACGTCATTTTTATTTTTTACCATCAACATTTGTTACATTATGCAATTCTGTACATAATGCATAATCCTGTATAGCCAGTACATGTATAACCATATGTGGGTGAATAGGTTAAATACTATGCCACAACGTGTGGTGTACATTTCTAAGTTTCTGGGTTCTTCTCGCGTTATTCAATCAGCTATACAGTGCAATGTATTTCTCAAAAATTTCTTAAACACAGACGTCCCAATCTATCTATGACTATAGCAGTCACTCGCGAAAGCACATGCTTCATAGTTCTCTCTCAGAAAGGTGGCAAACACTACAGCGTCTTCATGTAAACTGCAGATTACTTGAAAACTGAAATGGAAGCGGGGGTAATGACATGAGTAAACTCTATGAGCTCTGTAGGTGCCTGGCTCTCCGTAAGTGCAAGATATTTCTCAAAGATACAGTCATGTTGAACTTCTCATATTAGGAAGTGACCACCCGTTCTGGTGACACCAACAAATTCATGAGATTTGTTGACAGACCGCATGATATATTTTGTAAAGGCAGTTCGAACATGTACTATAACAGTACGTGTGCATTGGGAAGTTTGTGGGTTCTTCTCGTGCTATTCTATCAGAGTTACTAGCTCATGGATGTTACTCTCCATCTCACGAGATCTGCACCAGGTTCTTGTCCATGTCTCCCACTAGAGACAGACTCAGGTTGGTTAGTTCCGCCTCTCCTTGCACGGTTCTGTACCCAAACATCTCCAGGGCGTCCCGGCAAATGTTCTGAATCTTCAGCACGGCGGACAGACTCAGCTTACGTCTCCAGGCGTCAACAGTGTCCCTGGAGTTCCTCTTCCGAGAGAAATAGCTTTCACCCGGCTCCGTGGCGTTTGTGTTTTTCGCCAGCCAACGGAAGACTGCTTTGTCACTTTCGGTACCGAGAAAATAATACAGTTTCTCTGTCATGGCAGCCGGTGCCATGGCAACGTCCTCATACCTTATTAGGGCATAGTGTCCTAGTAGCCAGTCCGGGACGCCATCTTGGGTCTGTACGTTTTCCACCAGCTGCGTACAGAGGTTTTCTGTTTTCGTGTCATCAACAAAATCTTCTGCAAACGGAGTCGGTTCTTTGCGATTGAAAATTCTGATTTGTGAAGCGACCACGGCGCGAGGGTCCCGGATAAGGTGGAGGATTTTGACTTCCCGGCCGACTACCGAGCCATTTGCCACGATTGGTTCAAAGAAGTTGATGTACCAGATCCGTATAATCTTCGCGACATTTATCTGTGAGTTTTGACACGCCTGGTTCAAAACTGAAGCCAGTGTGTCTCTCGGAATGGGACAGATTGAATCAGACTTGTTCGTTATTCCCCATTGGAAACTCTTACAGAGTTTTTTCAACGATGGGGTTCGTTCTACTGCCGCGAAAGTTGGAGCTGTTAGAAAATGTTCCATGATCCCTTCAAGACCTGCAAACTCACAATTAGCCACTGCTTGGAGCAGTTTGAATTGCCACTCTGGGACGTTGTGTGTCCCATTGTCGTAATATTGCACTGCCCACAGAGGTTCAAACAGGTAGAAAGAACCAGGATGTTGATTGAAAATCTCTCCGACGAATGAGGAGCCGCTTCTCATCTGGGTGAATATGAAGACGGTGGTAGGACCGGAAGATCTCATTTCATTGGTGGGCGTTATTTCTATCTCGTAATAATTTGATGCTGCATCGTATTTGTTTTCCTTTGAATGGATACCTTCAGTTGTGTCTACTGGTAAGTGACCGGACCACGGGCCAGGGATTCCTGTAGAAGGAGCCCAATAAAATGTCCAATGATTTACCGACCAGAGGTAAGCGACAAACGCCAGCGTTAGAATCAGGGGGAGAAGTTTAAAAATGGCCCGAAGTATCCTCATGTCGTCTCTCAGATCTGCACCAACGCCACGACAATGTTTATCTGTAAAATATAAACCACCGTCATATAGATAAGAGATAAGTGTATTCAGTGATAAAAGAGCCTCATCATTTTGCATATGGATCCCAAGATCTGATTAAGAGTGAAATATAGCATGCATATGCTGTTTCTTGTTTTTATGGCTTTCCATGCATCTTAGAATATTTCATGGCTTCACCAAACGACACATTTCGAAATGGACCGTGTGTATACATGTAGCTGTTTGCAGAGACTAAAATCTGACTACAAAGCATGCCTACAACGTTAACGAATATTGAGGAATATTAGCAGGAATCGCGAAAATCACTAAACCGGACTTATAAAAAGCGGTATCATCTGATCACTTATTTTAACAATTTAACACCAAGATACGAATTATGTAACATGCTGCTTGATACATATATGTATATGATACATGTATAAGCATTGTGTGTATTAACTCTACTTTAACGATGGCATTTCTGTGTAACATATAATTCAAATTCAACTCAATAATAAAATTTATAGCAACTTAACGTTATGCATACTATATATACATGCATTATGATATGTATTACCTGGCAGAATGACATAAGTAAGTTTAACATGCGTATGGAAAAATACAGTATACTGATAAGTTTATCAAGTATCAAGGTAACAAACAGTTGACAAACGAACGTAGGTCAAACAGGTGACGTCTTACACAGACTAAGAAGGGAAGAGCTAAAACCATGAGCGGTCCAAACTTACCATATGCCACAAGTTGTAAACAGACACGTCACCTGCTAGCGTTCGCACACAAAAGCGTTTTCATGGCCCCTCGCTATCGACCAATGGCTGAGCACGAACGAAATCTCAATTAAGCTTAGATATAGCTAGTAATTTTTTCCTTCCTTTCTTATCCTTCTACAGATCTCCCATTGTACATAGGTCTCCAGAAAATGTCATCTAGTTAAAAAGTTTTTTTGCCCCCCTAGAAGTGTCTAAAGTACGGCCGGAATGGATGTAGGAATATAGACACTTGTACTGTAAGCATCAAATGACGTAACCATCCCTTATGTATTAATAGTGATGCACGAAGGAAGCATTCCATTCGTACGAGGGACGAGGCTTGTTGGTCAAAAATGTTAAAGGTGACAAAACTCAAACACGTGAGCATACCATACAGCGCGTTCCGTCGTACGATGCGTTATCTTATGTAACCAGGGTAATTACAAATAACGGTTGGGATGGATAAACACGTTGCCATCGATTACGTCCGTAATGAAGTGGTCAGTTCCGACAGCAGCCACTTCAACCATCAAACCATAGTGGCCTTCAGACGACGTGCAAGGTCGCTCATTAGCATACAGGAAATGACGCTAACCAACTGGAAACGACTCATGCTGTTCTACCGATCGTAAGATGCGGTGTCATTGTAAAAACACCATACAGGCTTTGTTGATGTCTTGACCAGCTAGACCAGAGTTTTGCGGCATTTCAAGTAAAAAATTAGATTCCAACTTAAAATTGCAATTTATGCACGGGTACCTTATTTTAACAAACGTTTTAACTCAGAACATTCCTGTAGTTCATAGGAATTATGCTAGGGGTCGATTTGGTTTTCAACGTAGCAGCGTCTCTTTAAAGATAAACAAACCTGGATCTGCCGTTAGGTCAGGGTCCGATGAGTAGTAAATAGTATAGAAAATGCTGACATTATGTATGCTCATCTGTTGCATCATGTCCACCAGGTGCTACAATTCTCAACCTAACGTATAAATAAGACCGTTGCATCGAGCATATCTCGTCAGTTGAAGAAGATAAGTTGTAGATTCTACACGAAGGGTTGTAAAGAACTTAGTGACATCATGAAGATTGTTTTGTTCATGGGGGCGCTGTGCCTCGCCACTACCCAGGCGGCCTTGCAGGGTCTGGACTGGGCAACAGTACAAGGTGATGAGTCGTTCTAACATGGAAAGTAAAGTTTGTAAGTTTAGATCTTTCAAGCTACCACTATCATCTCCAAACTTAGCGTTGTGTTTAGAATATTACATCTTAAAACTACGTGGATTGTCCATGATGATTGACATTCACATCTTTGTCGTTCGTCCGTCAGCATGACGAGGACGGCTTTGTCATCCATCTGTGGTGGGATTTGTCCATATATAAAGTCCGATTTTTGCCTGGTACCGCGGTGTTGTTACATCTTAAAACATAGTTTTAAGATGTAACAAGATGTTGATTGACATTTACATCTTTACCTCCCTATTCAAAACGACAACTGCAACTCCAAACAGTCGTACTTGCTGAGCTGGGCTCTCTAGGTGTGCATGGTTAAGTAGCGCGGGACACCTTATAACAACACTTTTCTGTGATCCAGCGATCCACGATGCGGCTGTGCAGGCGATGACTGAACAGTACATCCAGGCCTTCAACAACATCGCCACGGCCGCCGGAGAGTTCACCTACGTCAACGCCACCTGCGCGCGCGAACTGCAGGGATCCTGCGGCCGCTGCGTCACAAAGAAGTGCCAGCAATGGTAAGTCGTCTAACGTTAACGTTCTTATTAGTAATCTCCTAGCAGATTCTGTGGGGCAAGGGAAGTCTATTGGCCATATAGAATCTGCTTGGAGATTAACGTTCTGATAGTGTCTCTGGGTTACAAAATATGCCTATACGGTGCGGTCTACATTAAATGTTGCAGTACTAAAAATTTACCCAGTGACGCTTGACACATGACCTTTCTAAAACGTTACATCAGTAGTGGGACTTGTGTGTCCCGCCGGTAGTTGGTATGGTGTTCCGTCCTCTGGAGGGAAGGTTGATGGTCTCTGCATGTGTTTACGTTGATAATGTTACCTTTCAACAGTGTGTTTCCTGTGTTCAAGTTGCTCTGAAAGACCTGTCGCTCACCATGTTGGACAGAAACGGAACGAATAAGAAACATTGTTACCACATAGTGAATGAATTGAATCAAGGACATTATACGTAATGTTCTTGATTGAACTGAACTAAACCTGTGTTTTCCAGGGCTATGACCTGTGGTATGACCCTGTCGGAGACCCCTGCTGACATGACCATGCTGGGCGGAGAGGCGGTCCAGGCTGACCTCAAAAATCTGCAGAAGTTCATCTCGCAAGGCGAGCGTCTGGACACCGGTAGGTAAACATATCTCCGGACTAGATCTGCACACATACTGAGTTAGGTGAGGAAAGTCGTGTAAAGTGCCTTTTCCAAGGCCACAAGATAGGTGGCCTATTATTACTCCCGAGTCCTACATCCTCTCCACAGTAGGACTCTGGAGCTATAATAGGTTTGCTAACCAGGCTACCTCACATGCTCGTGTTTGTTCTTGTACCTCCGTAAGCGTGCTAACCACAGTAGCATCCTCTCCTATCAGGCGAAGCTATCCAGTGCGCCGTTGACGCAGGTTCCCTGGCGCTCACCGCTGGATCTTTGCTAGTCGGGAAGCGTGAAGTCGGTGATGTCATCTGCGATACCATCGGTGTGGTGGGCACAGCCGTGGACCTGGTTACCGGAGGTGATGTCAAGTCTCTTTCATACTAACAATTCTATAAGTGACTGAAACTCATACTAAAGATTCAACGGTAAAATGAAATCTGAGCTAAGCATGGTTGCAGCGTACAGATCTTGATTAGATATTAGAAATGGCTTTGAGGGCTTGTTTTTCTGACCTTGAATGTTGTTGTATGATAGGAATCGGTAGTATCGTCGAGGGTGGAGTGAATCTTATTGATGACGCCATCTCAGCGATCGGAAACCTCTTTGGTGAGTGCACCTCTCTGGTAACTCACTGTTATGACAGTACAATTCATGTGGACTACCAGACATTTGCAAAGATGTTAACAATTACGAAATGAATAAAAGATCCATAGTTAATCAGTTTGATGCTCTAATATGCTCTAATAATGCTGATCGGAGACATGTTAGATTACAAGGACATTATCTCTTTGTAACATTTTTGTCATATGTCAATATCGCAAACGTCTCTAACCCACCAACATGGCGGGCGCTGTATTACGTCATAATCACTTGATTGCAAAAACCTCATGTAATGTAGGAAAGAGGAAGAGGGATCTGCAGTGTGACGTCCTGCAGTTGGAGCCCGAGGCATCGTGTATGCAGCTGGCACCGGAGTGTGGTGGGGAGTGCCAAGGTGCGTTCTTATCCTCAATA